TGGTAGGTTTGCTACTCACTGAATACATTTCTGGAAGGGTGAGCTCCTTCAAGAAGCTTGCAGGTTTCTTTATGAAGAAAAATCTCTTGTGTGCCAACAGAGGGAATTCAAAGAGAAACCTCTGTTTGCATTCAGAGCAGATGAAACCTAAAAGAGAAAGACATAAAAAGTAAATGTACATTTCTGTAATGTTTATGTATTCATACAAGACACTGAATCATTTATTTAACAGTTTCAAAAACACTGATTCATTCAGAAACTAATAAATCGGTGTTTTTGAGTGACTCACTGAAACTCAGCCAGTTTTTTTTAAGGACTGATTCATTCAAGAATGAGTGAGTCATTGAATCACATTCAACAGATTTGTGAACTTTTTTATGTTTTGTATTTTTTATGTGTATGTATTTTTAAAAATGTAATAAAATTTCCAAAAATGCTTGGGCCTAATGCTTGTTTTACAGTTTTTTATATAATTGATATAGATCTATTTTGAAATATCTTATTTTAGATAAAATTCAAAAACACTGATTCATTCAGTAATGAAACATGCATGGGTGATTCATTGAATCATTCATTCAGCCAATTCGTTCAAAAACACTGATGCATTCATGAACTGAAACAAGTGATTGTCTTTATTAGTGAGTCATTGAATTATTCATTTAACTGATTTATTAAAAATACACTGATTCTGAAACACTGCATTTAATATAATGTGGTCATATAAATATATAATGCATTCAAACCTTTTGTGTTCTTTTGCTCTGTGCTGAGGCCAAGCAGTTTGGTTAGATCTCTCCCATACCAAACTAAAAGCTCCGTGTTTTCAGGAATATCCTTAAAGGCTCTGAAAAATAGATGTCCGTTCTTCATATACGCCTCTAGATTTTGCTCCTCTGTATTCCTGGCTGACTGAATCATCTGCAGGCATTCGCTGGACGCTTATGGGTCCATCTGAACAATGCAAAAGAACATGTCCTTAATATCTAAAACATGAATAGGGCCTACATTTACTATTTATAATACAACAAAAATTAATCACATACTTCATAATAGCCTAAAGGGTAGATACCTTTTATTTTAGATACAGTTTTAGATTTTAAATATTTAAAGGAAAAGTTGTCAAATGTAAAATAAACAGAATGTTCCTATTGTGCCGACTTCTGACAACATGCCCCGCTGTGTCCCAACGTAACGTGTGTTGAATGAACTCCATCTCTTTGCTAGGCAATAACGGTGAACATAGCTTCTTATAGCAAAGACTTTATATAGCAAAGGTATATGTCCTACATGTAGCCTACAGAAATTAATTTTCATCCTAAGAAATATTCACGCGTAAAAGCGTGACAACCAGCCCCGTATGGCGTTATTTTACTGACAAATGTCGAGAGCGCATTATTGTAACGCGAAAGCACATTAATATAATGCGCGAGCACGAATCTCTCCGCTCGCGCGCGGATTTCCTTTGCTCTCGCACAAAACTGGACTCGCGCGCTCGGATACACGCTGCTCTCGCCCGGAGAGAGTGCGCGCACTTAAAACGTGTCTCCTCTCACTCAAACTGTCCTGTGCACTCGCAAATCTCTCTGTGCTCATGCGCTATAGATATTAATTCTTTTCGCACCTGAATTAAACGTTGTCAAAAGTTATCATTATGCACTTTTAAAAAGTAGTCTCAAAACAGATTTGTGCAGGGTCTTTCCTTGATTTTTTTATTGTTGTATTTTTGTTTTAACAAACTGGTTATTGTAGCTACTTTGTTTTACTATACCTCTTTTATCTTTGTATTTTGATCTTTTCTGCAAACGCACACATGCATCTCTCTGTAAAATAGGCTACTTTGTATACACTGTTTTAAAAGGTGCTATATAAATAAAGCTTTAACCAATCAGACCTCCACAATTGGAATTCTTTTGACAATCAAAGATGGATCTTTAATTTCTTTCCAGTTTAATAATATTTTGCAATGTTAATGAAATGTAGCCTATAGAAAAGGCCAGGAATTGGGTGCTTGGATGATTTGTACATAACCTCTGTCCAACTGGTTGGTCTCTGAGCAATTTATCTAAAAACAACATATTATAGCCTATGGCCCTAAAGACTTTATATAAAACATCAATGTTATGTCATAATATGTCAGACAGATACCTCAACTGAATTTAAAATCATTGCAATAAATTCTCAGTTGCTATGATGGCAATAATAAGTAACAACTCCTCAAATCAACATCAAACGTAAAAATAGATGTAAATGATGCAAGATATAACAATAAATGTTCTAATAGCAT